ACCATGGCATTTGGCACCAGGTAGTCTTGTGCTATTCGCATCTTTTCCTGAGTTTGATGGAAAGCAGAAACTGAGTCGCTTTCCTGGTTGCGAGAATTACACACCTACACAGTGACTCAAGAAACAGAACAGTACGTGCGAGCTTGAGTCTAAATCCTAAAACGTGGACGCCATGCAAATGTTCGGTACGTTCCTGAAAATTTGCTTGCCGAGGCACTTGAAGGTCGTAGCCTCGACAAAAGAGTTGATTTTATGCGACCCAAGCAAGTACACGCCTGCCTGAAGCTAGATTCGATCGTCGCACGAGGCCCCGTTGCCTTAATGACTCCATGAGACCGGGCTGCATCCTTGCCAAGACTTCAAGCCAAACGTTATGATCATTGAAATCCTGACATGCAAACAATCCGATCTTGAAAACACAGGCCACCCCGCTGTCAGCACTTCGCCGACACGGCATCGCGCCTGTGAGTCGAATGATCTCCATGCGGTCCAGCAACGGTCCAGGTATCGTTTCCTCCGGCTTCAAGCTGGGATGGATGGATGGATGTAGGAAGCGCAAGGTAAAAAGCCCTGTCCCATTGGAGCCGAGAGTAGACACACAAGGAAAGACAGTCTCACTGCTAAGATCAGCTCCAGCACGTTGGCCGTACACACGAAGAGGATGTTGCTGCCTGACAGATGTTACACACCCCCACACACACACACACTCTTGCTTCTAATTTTAGGTTTATAAGCATCGTGAGATGTAGGGACAGATGGGAAATTGACATGCTGAGGTGCACGGAAGTATGGTCAACAAAATGAGAGGTAGACCACCACAAGGGCACATGGACAGACCGAGGGGCAAGGAAGGGAGGGACAGGGAGAGAGAGAGAGAGAGAGATAGAGACAGAGAGAGAGCAAGGCGAACAAGAAGGCTCCTACGCGTATGCTCATACACACATACCACTGTGAGAACACATCTTTATGCTGGCGTCATGTACAATTGCGTGTTTGACTGCTCATGTGCGTTTATCTACAAGCCGGAGTTCAGCCACATCCACACATGAATCACTTGTAAATTGCACTTGCAATATATGATAATTTGCATAAACCGGCTCATCCAGTCTGCATAAACACTGACACAAATCGGCAAAACCCGAGCATGAGGGAGGGAGAGAGAGAAGAAAAAGAAAACAGCGTGAGAGTGAGTGAGTGGATGAGTGAGTGAGCGAGCGCACACTTTACCAGTCTTGCACCTCAACAGAAGCTTCATCTATGTTTCCCCATGTAATCCAATCTTCCTGCTCCATATCCTTTCCTTGTCGCTCGTCCGTGGCATGAAAACATGTCGTGTCAAGAAATCCTGCTAGAGGGGAACCAGTTAAAGGAGGGTCTGGACCACATGTTGCTCATTGATCGGGTGTCTCGTACATTATTGAGTACAAGAATGACGACAAATCCCGGAAACCTTTTCACCAATATCCTGAATCTGTGTTTGATCTTGAGTCCGGAGATCTTTTCAAATCGAGCGGATGTTATTTCAGAAGATTGGAGACTTGGATTTTCCCCGGCTGCCCTGCTCTGCAGCCCTCGGCTTCCACTTAACACTCATATTAAGTCTGAATATTGGTTGTTACTGCAGGCTTAGGGTTTAGGCATCACTGCCATGAGGATGTAGGCCCTTCTGGGGACGAGCTGCAATCAACTGGCACGTCCAGGTAGTGATCCACGAAGGAATTGTTCTGCGAAGGGTCCTATGCCGAGCTGAGATAAGAAGATCTTCTTGACCAATGTACAGCTAGTAGGGCAGCTACCGCGCACAACATGTCTCAACTCCATGCCCTCGCCAGTCCAGCAACTCGAGCAGCGCGCTTGAGGGGTCTCCCTGGTGGCCGCGTCCGATCTTGTCCACCTCTTCACATTTCCCGAGCCCCTATCAGCCTAACCTCTGCCAATCCTCGCCATGAACCGGTGCAAGCTCAGTTGCGAGGCTGTCTCGGCTTCGGGGCTTTGAACCTTTCAAAACTGCAAGCCTCGCAGTTTACAAAGCTGCCCAAAGACCGCACAGTGCCTACACTTACAGTCATCGACATACACCTGGACAAGCAAGCATCAAACACACCGTCGACCATATGGCACAAGAGCGAAGTCACTTAACGTGCTACATGCCTAAATCTTTTATACATCAATGCATGGACGGGTGCATTCGTTTGCACGTATCTGTGAAAATGATTAGCATACAGAGTCGCGTGGCCCTGGCCTCGTCAATCAGGATCAGGGGGTTTGCGGTTTGCGTCTTTTTCCTTGCATTTGGCTCTGAACATGGCATACTACATGAAACTAGGCGCATCGTCACCAGTTGATTACACGTTTTCCCCTGACCATCTGCTTGGCCAGCCGCTTATGCACCCAGTCAGTGTGTTTGTGCCCATGCCTGCCTCTGTTTTCGTAAGCCTCTAATGCAGTCTTGTTTCTGCATTGTGCCGGTAATGGTGTTGGTGCCGCTGCTACTGCTGCTGCTGGTGCCGGTCTTCTATCCAAGCCTGGATCTCAAGATCCTTATGCAGCGAAACCAGACAAGCCAAATGGCAATCCTCGTCCACTCTCTAATCTGCAAAAACAGGATGTTGACGCTAGACTACTGACAGCACCGCAGGCCAAGCGAATGCCTGAACATCCTCAAGGTCCAGGTAAGTAAGTAATTAAGGCTTTGTGCCCTGAAACTTGAAACTGCCACTCCAGATCCTGAAGCTTGGGCCTAAAGTTAACACAACCGCAACAAACCTAAACCCTTTGAAAGGCTTCACGGCACTCCGAACTTCCGCATCACAGCGTCAGGCACTGGATCACCTTTCCTGGCATGGCACCGACCTAAGCCGCAGGTCATCCGTTACTGTGTGGGTGCTTGGTGCTTACGAGCGACATGGCATTGGGGCAGCTTGCGGGAGCTGTTGGGGTCTAGGCTTGGATTATAGCCCTGCCAACCTCTTGTTCTTGTAGCTTCCTAATCAAACTATCGCGATCAGTAACAAGAACCTGAACTGCCCACATAGAGTCCGGGAGGCATAGGTTCTCCGATGGCCCTTGATTTCCGCCACCTGCAGCTGCTGTGATTTCTCAGGTCATCTGGGCCCTCCTAGAAAAGTGTCTTGCTTCACAAGCTTCACTAGGTCACTAGGGGCGGGGGGGGTGGTCGTCGGCTGCAGCTGCCGGACACAGGATCCTCATCAGGCCACATCTTGAGGCCTCTCTATACCGTTCATGGGGTCTCGCTATATCTCGCCGTTGGCTGGCAAAGCTGCACGTCCGACCGCATCCTGAAGAGGAGCATGAAAATGCCCATACTCAACACCACCTCAAGCACCAAGCCCGTCAACACCGATGCCCTTGAGCTCCGACGTTCTCATGTTTTGAGAGTTTGAAGGAGGGACCGAGAAATTCTGTTCAGAGCGTCGTGGTGTGCAGAAGGCTTGAAACATATGTTGATACTCTTCACAGACCCCACCCCTCACACATCTGAACAAACCTAAAGCCCCTCGAAGCGCCAGGGTGCGTCGTAGAGGCCGCCCACAGAGAAGCGGTAAAACTCTCGTCCAAGTGCCTCGCATTGGCTCGGTGGCTGGGCGGGGGGGAATTTTTTGGTAGCTTACTGTCTGAACGCAGTCTGGCTGAACCTTGCCTCGGCAATGGACTTCCCAATCGACGTCTTGCCGACACCCGGGGGGCCCACGAAGCAGAGGATCTTCCCTCAGCGGAACGAAAGCTAGAACAATCCCGGGGAATTTCTGGCATCGGTAACAAACAGAAATCCACGCGGCTCTAGCGGAGTCTTACGTTGCCTTCTGCAACTTGTCTGCTGCCAGAGCTGGGGAGGGAGCCCGCGCGAAAGCGGACGCGCATCGGAAGGGACCAGCCCAAAGCTCCACTCATGACCCCGTAATAGTAATAATGATAACCATTACAATATATAATAATAACAATACTAGCAATAATAATAATAGTAATAATGATAATCATAACAGTAATAATAACAATACTAGTAATAATAATAACAATAATACTAATAACAATAGCAATAGTACTGATAATAATCCTCCAAGGTACCCCCAAAGCCTCGAAATCGCCTGTGCACTGCGTCGGCATCTAGCTCATGTTAGAAGCTCCTGAAACCTCCATAGAGCTTTCAGGCCAAGAGTCATGCCCGCGGGATCTCCCCGGAGCGATCGGATTGTGAGTGACGGGTTTCAGGGTCAAACACTTGCGTGCAAGGAGTTGCAAGATGCAGAGTGTGGGCTGTAGCGCAGCTTGGTTCAGCAATGACAACGGCGTGATCAGAGTCCAGCTTCTAGAAGTGAAGGGAATTCTGAAGACTGCTTGGCCCAGGATCCAAGGTTCTGTTCTCCATTCGCGACACGTGTGGCTGCTACAACCCCCGTAACAATCAAGACCCCACAAGCCGAAGTACCCGGACGTTGGTGAATGTTGGCCTCTTGTGTTGCATACTGTGCAGGAAAGCCACCCTGCATCGACCCGCGCAGCACGCCGACAGCAATGAACTCTCGGATTCGATCCTCCCATGTAGCCAATCTACATGAACATGCTTGAGATCTACGACAAGAGAAGCATGGCATGTCGCCACCATCGTCATGCTCGACTGCCATACAGACAAAACTAGATTGTCGAAATCTTAACCGCAAGACTCTGATCAGGGACCTCTGACCTCAGCTGCTAAACCTCAGACCGCAATGTGCAGCACTCCGGCATTTCTAGAGGAAGGTGGCGCGCGGAACCCAGCTATGTTGGTGCCCATTCCTGCCTTGATGTCCGCTAGGCCATAGTGGTCTCGATCCTCGGCTTGCTTCTGCAGGCAGGCTTCAGGAGTATGTGCCGTGACTGAGAGCGCTTGAGATCCAGTGCCGACCAAGAGCATATGTCACCATGCAAAAACTTGCCAGCTGTACATATGTAAGCTGTAGACTAGTCGACACTTTGCGTTCTCTAGCAGGTCCAGGACAACATTAGCGCAGAAGGCACGACAGAAGTCCATCCCATTTTCGAGGCCGAAAGTCCAAGATCTCTCGGGCCTTCTTCAAGTCGAAGGTGTCCTGCAGCCCCGAACATGTCAACACTGTCATCTGAGGTCTGAGAGTGGGCCCAAGCCGGGTTCGAAACGTGAAGCAGACTTAGCATCGCATGAAACCTTGAAATCACGTTTTCGATTCCAGACCATAAAAATCCAGCAAGCCTTGCTGTAGACGCCCCAGGGCACGTTGGTCAACCATTCCAGATAGTTCCGGGTCATCTGGTACTCCTGCGACTCCTGCCCATGGCTTGCAGTTTCGCGTCAAGTTGTGAAGAGGAGCCATCGTGCACCCGTCCCACCCCACTTGAGGGAAGCCTTGGCTAAGTTGGCGAACTTCTCCAACTCCTGATCGATCGCCTTGCGAGTCTCTCAGGCACTTGAGGATGGCATCGTCTGTGCTTGCCCCTTTGGAGCCTGGACTCCCCCAAACCCTACCTTCTACATATTGGCTGTGCTGCTGTCTCTCCATCCTCACATGGGTGGGTGTCTGAGGTGCCATGTATATAGAGCGTGTATCTATAAACGAAAAGATAGATCAATGCATCCACAAACACATATCGCTATTACGTATATACAGATGGTCATGTATACATATACGTACACATACACACGAGTACTCATGCGCATATGCAACGCACATAGGATCACGACTGTGGTTTGTGCACGCAGAAAAGCTCCACTGTACAGGAGGTCGGGTGAGATATACAAAGTAAGATGATCGTATAAGATGAGACCATATCGTCTAACATAGGTTATATGCTATCTGGTTTTATGCATCGTATATAAACTAAAACAAATAACACACCAGTACATAATGAAACGGCACAGTGTATTCCAGACTGGTATGATGAAATCTGGTTTCACGCAATTCTACATCACATAGCAGATCATAGTAACATGTATATTGGCATACAGTGGCACATCATATTACAGAATATAGCACCGTATAATACGACGTGAGGATATAACATGATGTAACAAGTCTAGTACAATGCACGAAAACAGAAGATCGTATGCGATACATATACTAGAAGTAGAATACCGTATAATGCAGTATAGTACATAAGACAATCTCATGTAATATAACATACTATGATACATTAAACGTTTATATCATGCCATATAGAACAGAATATGCAAACATATAATGGGAAAATGCAACAGATTAAAACACACATAACACAGTATAGCAAAATATAATGTAAGATAGTCCAACAGAATAGACTAGTAGAATTGTGTCGAAAACATATAACATCGTGAGGCCTCTTTCACCTCCTTGGGCACTGTCTTTTCCTCGAGGCGCTGCTTGAACTTCTGCAAGAGTGCATCCTTGCAGAGGGATTCTAGGGCTTCTAGGGGGTTGAGGGGTTCGGGGTTTAGGGCTTGTTTCAGGGCTTTGGTTTGAGGGGGTGGTCGGCTTGAGAACTTCCTTGTGGACTGGCTTCGACTGAGTCGGAGAGACTTGAAAGGCCAATTTATCTTGGGCCTTCATAAGCCCGGGACAGAACCCGAAAGCACCTACAACCTGAAAGAGCCATGTGGCCGATCCATCATCCTTGTCAATGCCCAGCTCTTTCCTGAACAGTTTCGCACGTTCCTCACTACTTGATCTTCACTTGCCCAAGCTGCCTTGACTTGAGAGGCGCTGCCCTTCAGCTCAACGAGTCGGCAATCACAACCCTGCACATAACTTCTGGAGCCCGTCTTCAGCAACCATGCGCAATGCGCCATTTGCAGCATGATAACTTCGAAGCTGCTGAATGCTGCAAAGCTTCTTGATAGACTTGAGCTGCTCGCGCAGCATGAACTCCCGCTGGTGTTTGTTCATCTTGTCCTTCCGTTCTGCGGTTCGTTGCTTATCTGCGCTTGGCTACAAGTAATGAGTTCAGCATATCCGACTGCATGGCATGCATAACCTGTCGGAGTGTGTGACCATGCAGGACCGTAGACTCTCTCAGACAGCACCAACTCCATGCGCACCTCGATCTGTGATGCGATCTTCTGTTGAAGCTTCGACAGCCTCGGGCGACACAGATGTGACTGCAGGCTCACATCCGCAGCCAACCCCGCTACCTCAACTTTGCACCTGAACAAGTCCGGCACAAACAAACAAAAAGAGTCAGGTCTGGCGAATGACCCACCGCAAGCTGGCCCATCACAAGCTGGCAAGCGGCTCCAGCTCCTTCTTCACAAGCTCCAAAGCTAGCCTCCAAGCCCAAGTCTAGGATGAATCCAAGCAATCACCGCGAAGTCTTTATGCACCTATACTGCACACAGTATACATGCGTGTGTGCGTGTGTGTGTGTGTGTCTCCATGTCTATCTGTTTGTCCGCGCAGGCATAGACGTGTGTGTCTTCAACAGTTCTTTGTTCTTGACAGACAGCTGTTGCTTGGCGTGCTTAGGCTGTTTGGAGAGCGATGTAATATGCACATATGTATAATGCATGTGTATATATATATATATATATACATGTATATATATATATACACACATATATGCGCAGGCGACGACACAGTCGTCCTGTCAGGACTCTTCGCATCAAGGCTATGCATATGAAGAATTGAAAAAGCCACGGCAACCAACATCACAATACAGGAATCGTAGCACGCCCAAACCTGACAGGATCCTTCAGGAGAGCCTCGATTCCAGACCCTTCGGACATTCCAAAATCCAGAAGCATGAGCATGCCTGCTCTTGTCTTGGGCATTCGTGGCTTCCAGGACCTGCGAGATGCGAGAGAAAGCTCTGACGTAGGTGATACTTGAAACAGAGTTGAATTGATGCACAAACCAGTCGGGGCGAATCTTGCATGCGCCGCCGGGTAAAGAACGTGTGTGGCCAGCTCTCAAGTCCCGAAGCCCTACACCGTGAGTTATTCGCCAGCCTTCTGGAGATCCATGCCATCAGCCGAAGTGAGGGCGGCTGCGAAGTGCCTAAGATCAAGTCCGGCGAATGCAGGCAAGCAATCTGTGAGATCAGAATTTGGGATTCAGTGTACCGCGATCGGGTTTGGCTCGTTCCGCCTGATGGATGCTTTCACGGCGAAGCTCGGTGGCGCAGTCTATGGCAACCATCGCTAGCTGTCGTCAGCACCGCGTCAGCATCTATCTTCGGCGTCCAAGCTGAAAGGAGAATTTGGATCACAACTGACCGAATTGTTTCTCGCACACAATTTGTCCGTACCGCTTGTAATGGCTGGAGCTGCGGCATCCTGACCCTTAATAGTCATCTAACGCGCCTTGCGGATGCGGAATTTATCATCAGGGGGTGCACGCAGGACATGATCGTGGCCGATCATCCACTACTCATTTAGATGGGGGTTCTGGTGGCATTTGCCGCTCTGCCGCTGTCCCCTGATACTTCTGCCATATGCAGACCAAGGGGCGCCACCACGTGCGCCTTCATCTTCTCCACGCGATCGTAGTAGCTCTGGTTAATCAGTGATGCATATTCGCCTTTGCAATGGTAACCGATCATTGCATGGAACCATGCTGCCTGTGAAGAGTTCCCGGGCTCTAAAGGAGCATGTGTGCCGCAACTGCTATTCTAGCATAGCCCAGTAACAGCCAGTGCTAGATGCGACTAGATGTCAGGGCACCTATACCTATGCACCACTTTCAGAGTACTTTGAGTGATGCCGCATGGACACAGTTGGGATTCAGCTGAAAGGTGTGGAACTCTCAAGAAAACGTATCTTAGTCGACCTGGCTCGTGGTTGCCTCTTTCCACAACATGAACTGGTGCAGCGGTTGTCCTAACTGCTATTGGAAGTAAGCATTCTCTGAACAACCGCAGCTCAAGATAGATGACTTTCCGCAAGGGAACTGTGGGACCGGATCATGCCCACTATTGCAACAATGTCGTAGAAGGTCGTCACTGAGCCAGTGGCGGAAACCTGGGTTCACCTTCATGATCTCCTGTGAGGCGCGCGCGCACACACACACACATGCTCTGCTGGTCACGCGGAGGAGCTTCAGATGACACCAAATATGCAGAGGACCATGTGACTGTATATGATGGATCCTTGCATTTAGGGTCAATATATTACGGCAGTCGATTTCAAGAACTACCAGACACGACAAGCAAGGAGCGAAGAGGAAAGCTTGAGAAGACCTGCAGGCTCCATCTGTCGTGTCGACAGCTCCGGGCACTCAAACGACGGCTCCAAAGTTGTCAGTATAAGGGTTTGAAATGTTGCACCTTGGAGGGAAAGTCCGTGCATCTTCGACAAGAGTAGCAACAAACTTATCTATTGAATCTAAAGGCAAAGGCAAGAAGCAAGAGGGGCTTCTAGAACTATGACTATGACCATGTAAATACCACTGCCATTGGAATTGCAATAAGCGCATTCCATACTTTCATAAGACTCGGAGGAACGCTGCCTCTAATTATCACCAACATCACTACACCCGAGATACGAGTAGCCGTCGTTCCCAGCCTTGATGGTCTGCATTGTCTCGTTCATGGTCGCCTTGAGCATGTCGTCCTTCGGAGCTCAGATTCAGGTCGAGGGTTCTTAGCTGCAGGATCCAGAGACTTCACAGCAGGGATATGAAGCGGCCAGAATGACAAAAGCATCATCGCTCCAACGGATATGATGCGCCCGTGAAGAACCTACCAAACCCCCCACCGTTCGGCTTTGCCGAAAACGTCCCTTTCGGGCGTGGTCAAGCTATCGAAACATTTACCATCACATCACATCGCACCTAGATTATCAGCACGGACAAGCAAGAACAGTCTAGCAGGCTGGAAGAGCGACGTGCCCTAGTCAACCTTCCTCCGGCTTCCTGCCACCGAAAGCATCGATTCTTCCACCTGCCCCAAGCTGCAAAACCTGGACACCATTGCTCTTCTCTGCATGTCCGGAGGATCTTCGTTTTCGTACTTCACCTGTGAGATCTTGACCTGACAGCCAAGGAGGGGCTGGCTCGCTTCATCCGAACCATTCTGGCAACCCTCATGTGAAGGCCCCGATGCACAGGCAAGGGCTGGGAAGATCACGGCACGGTACATGTGAAACTGTAGTCTACCATACTTTCATCATCCGCCAGGAACGCGCGCGAGCTTTCTCATGGTTGACCGTGCCGGGTTCGGTTCCGGAGTGAAAGCTACAGCCAGATCAGCTGCATTCTATTGCCCATGTCCCCGCTCATGAACTATCCAAAAGGATACCCCCACCCCTTTGCCTGCAGCGGTGGGCCCTTTTGAAGGACCTCCTCCATGCGAACGATGTCGATACCTTCACAACTGATTCAGAACTCATAAGGGGTCCGGCATGTTTGCGTTCAGGAAGTGCGATCCAGGATCTGGCGAATCTCCAGCGCTTTAGGACTTATGGTTCCCAACCTGCGCAACCGCCGTCATCCTGCTGGAGCCGTATTCTGTGACTGTCAACCCGAGGTCTCGTAAACCGACGGGGTTGTCCCAGCAATCTAAGGGCAGCACCGTTGACAAGCATCTGCAAGCCCACCTGGCACCATGCTGCTACTCGTCTTGTCGGGACCTCTTGAAGAGAAACCCTGGCGGAAACACATCAACAAGCAATAGCCGACATGAAAAAACGAGACCCCTGGCAGTCATGCAAAACCCTTAGCCTGGCCCCACCGGAGGGCCTGTTGCCCCGACTGAGAGACGACGGGCATTGCCTCAGCCAGCTATGCTCAAGAGACGTACTTGGAGGTTGGGTAGTTATAAGAGGGATTCTAAGTCCCCTAATATAGGCTATAACCATAATTTTCCTACTTTTAACCCTACTTATAACTACCCACGAACCTCCAAGTAGTAGCGAAAAGCACCCTTGAACATCGCAACCGTAAAAGCTCATGCAAACAGTAGCATCACTTCCGCACACAGGCATCTTCGACTTGCTCAGGATATACCCTGGTGCCAACTCTCAGTAAGCTTGCGAAATCCTAATAGAAAGTAACCCCAAACCCCAAAGCTAGCTCTTCCCTCGTTTTGGCGCACCTTTAAAATCAGAACCCTCGCCGAAGCCCTGAGGCGTGAAAGCTTGGATCCCATGGCCTGCATGACTTTGGCACGAGTGCCGACCCTGCAAAGCACTTCCATGGGATTCTCGCTGCCCAACTCCTCACAGGATTCGTGGAAGGATTCAGACTCTACATATGGCTTTAGTGTGAAAAGTGTTGGGGGCCTTTACGTCCTAGGGTTCGGGTTGTGCTGTTCCTCGCACCATTGCCACTGCTAGTGCTACTACCACTACCGTGCCTTCCGATGAGCAAAACGTTAATGCTATTCTGGGCTGTGCTTATGAGCGCTGTTGTTTCCTGCTATCACTAAGTAGACTAAGTGCGGGATCCGAAAGCGCAAAACATGTCCAAAATCTGGCACACACAGCCACTTTCGATCCAGAGTTCTGGTCAACCTCACTCAAACTCTGGCGGTAATACAAAAGCCGACCCCCCAACAGCCGCCTCAAAAACCAAGACTGCAGCTCCAGAACCGAGCACCTGGGGTGGCTTTCAGCCACCTCAGGTTAGTTAGTCAAGTCCACTGTGACGGCATGTGAAACCGGGCATCGAACATCAAATCCGCCCGGATTCAAGAACTCCAAATGCCCCCAAACTCTACAGTAAAGGCTGTAGAAGCCTTTACACGTTGCAAGTCTAGCAAAAGCAACCCGAATCCCGAAAGCAGGCGCGGCCGTTTCTTAGACTCCTCCAACTCTGCGGTCGCCTGGACCTGTGGGACTTGCCCTTCCGCCGCTTCGCCCGCCTGCAAAGCTCCAGGTGGTAGTCGGAAAGGCTCGATTATTATTCGCAGCATAAAAAAATTAATAAGAAAAATGATGAATTATTATTAATATGACAACCATCATTACTGTTATTGATATTATTGAGATTATTGATTGTATTTTGTGTAGGTCGAAAATTAGAAGGGAGTTTGGGGCCTTGGTTTTCGGGTCTGGGGAGGGGTGCATGTGCCGTTCTAAGTCCTTGCATGTACAACTCTTCAAGACGTGGCCAGCCCGCCAGAATATGGGGGCCTGAATAATCAGAATAGGGTTTTGGGGCAAAAACATATGCAATAACTATGGTCGGGAACCCCCCAAAATAGCTTTGGTAATTATTTACGCCCCGGTACCTGCATCAACAAGAACTTACCCATCTCCACCTTTTTCGTGTGATCCCTAGCTGTGTAGATGCGGATGTGCAGTCGTTGCTTCTGTCACCCTGGCTTGTCAAACGAACTCGTAAATTCCTTCAATATCAGTTGCAAGATGCATTTCATCTGATCACGTGTCACAATGATCTTAAGCTCGCCCCGTCCAGTCGCCCGAGCACCCTTGTCGTACTTGCCCGCATTTTCAGGACGACAGAACAGCTGCAGCTGGTAGGAAGGATCCCACCTTCCCTGGGAGTATACCGGGATTGCAGAAACCTTCCGTGTGGGATCCTTGCGCCTTCATGGTGGTTTGGGGCTCGATATGGTCGCATGCGGCATGCCGGCGGTTGGGCCAGCAAGCACCATATTTCGAGCATGTATCAACTCAGCAACCCTACGTGCCTTTCGCAATGTTCGCACATTGGATATGAATGGAGGGATGCCACGGTCTCTATGCGCAACTTCATGAAACTGACCTTTCTGCTGCCTTGCCTCGTCACCATCTTCCCGCTTCTCCGGCATCTCAAAAGCGGGCGGCACCTAGCTCAAGGCTCAAGCACGAGGCTCGCCCTGATCGCACAAAAACATACGGATGAGCGAACTCCCTTGCATCCTCCCTCCTATCCTTGAGTCCTTCTCTCACTTGGCCTGTATCTGCACAGAAAACCTTCTCTTCTATCGCTCTCCCTCTTGCCCTTTATTTGCATTCCAAGGATGTTCCACCAGAGATGTCTTGTATTCCATGCATCTGAGATTTAGCATAGGCAGAGAACATCTAATGAGGACCTGAAGGCTGCAATTTGGAAAAGCCACTATCAGTGTGGGTTGCAAACACGGACGTCACTCTGGGATTCTAGAAGGGTTGCCGTCCCTCGTTTCCTGCGGTCCTAACATCCGTGAACACGGCAGTCCCGAAGCAGAAGCAATGCAGCCGCAGTTACGCTGACGATGCAGAGGCAGAACTTAGAGCTACAGCTTCGATCACCAAGCCTGCTTATGCAGGAAGAGGCTGACATAGTTCCTCGTGCGAGTGGAACTACATCGAGGTTCACGGACTTTGATGACTCAAGTAACAGTCCCTGGCAAGAGGTCGCACGAGATGAGCCTTTCTTTAAAGTCGCAAGCAGAGCCTCAAGCGATTCTCCAAGACTTTCCGCCTATCGCTGAAAGTGCTGGGATCTTCAACAGCCATTGCCCCAGTTCAGCTGAACTAAAAGTGCACATCCGCTGACTTCGCCGAGCCCTCCAAAGCCTTGCGCCAGCCAGAACATCTCTCAGCCCGATCCCGAAGCTCTAAACCCAAGCTCCAACGCTCACGACAGGACCACTCAAATCCAAGCCCCAGGGTTTAAAGAAGGCCCAGTGCCCAGTGCCTGTTCGCACCAATCACTACTGTAATCTTCTGAACCATAAAGAATAAGCCTTCAACCCCCGATGGTTGCTAAGCCCTGGAGCATTTCAGCCCTAATACGGAAGTGTAGAAGTGTAGAACCCTCAAAAAACCCATCTCCCAGCCAAAAGCTTCCGGCCTATCACCTTTAAAGTGTAGGTGGCAATCAGGTCTCAAGCGCCCGGCTGTCCCGGTCGCTTCTCAAAAGCTCGTATAAGCTCCTCACGACAACCCTTGCCCTTGCTTGGGGTTGAGGACCGGATTTCTTCATGAGAGGATTTGGGCTTGAGAAAGTTTTGGGGCTTCAGGGCTTTTTTGTGATCCGGCCAAAGGAAACGGATCCTGAGGTTTTGAGCAAGGAGGTGGAGCTTCGTCTTTCCAGGATATTGTGGGGTTGGAGCACTTTGGGGCTGAGGTTTGGGCCAAGCTTTAGAAAAGCCAAGCAGGGGCTCAAGAAGTGGTTTGAACAGCGTCATCGCGCAAAACAGCGGGGCAAGAACTCACACCGCTCCTTGGTGAGCGTTGGTGAAGTCACCTCAGAAGCAGACTTTCAGATCTGTCGACCTAACACACCTGTCCTCTAAGTCGTTGCAGTCAAAGCCAGCACCGGCCTGGATGATGTGATTCTGCATCGGGAACAAAGGCCTGATGAGCGCTCTTTCGTGCATTGCTCCATGTATTCTGCCCGGATGCTTGTCAACTGGCAGTGACTCCAGCAGCTCTGTCTTGAAGCACAAAGCTTTGTAGCTGCAGATGCAATGTGCTGGAAATTTTTCTGAGAACTCATAGCAGAACCTTCAGTGCATAACAACTCAGATCTGAGGATCCCAGCAAAAGTAGCTTGACAACAGACCCGGGAGTTGGGTTGGAAATCCAGAACTGTCGGCAGACTCAGTGGGCAGACCTTGCCGTAAAACATAAGGAATCCAGATCTGACACCCGCGAAAGCGTTTACGGCGAGTGGGTATGTCGTAATGTCCACCAGCCATATACCCCTTATTCACCGAAACCATTGAACTAGATTCGAATTCTGCTCTAGGCTCTAGACGGCCCTGTCCGCATCTCAAAAGGCCATGGCCTCCGAAACACAGGCAGCGCGATCGACCAGGGCTCGAAGCCTCCAAAGACAACTTTGAGGCACTTGGTCTTCGAACCCGCATTCACCGAAGAACGAATACGATGCAACACCGACGGCGGCCACAGGGCTTCTCGGTCTTTTGGGTGCTGAGCTTTTAAGACTTCAAGACCACGACTACTTTGCGGACGAACACAGAGGAGCTCTCGTTGCTCGTCGCCTCCTCCATCTTTGGTTTGATGGAAGGGCAAGAGCTAACACGTGGCATGGAAAAGCCAGTCTCAACCTAGTACGCCCCCGCATGATGCATGTCTACGATGCATGGGGAAGCGTTGCAGTGACGTTGCAGCATTTTCGACACACAGGCGCCTCTGCACAACGAGCATCTTTGCTCGGCTGCTTTGCCCCGTACTGTACAGCCTAATATGTACACCAGGTGCAATACGTAGGGCGCAAAGTTGCGTATCGATGGGGCCCTGCCAGCCTCGGATGTTGTTTCGAGAATCCAGCGGTTCCCATGTGAAAACTTGCAGAATTGCGAGACAAAATGTGCTTCAAGCACCTCATTCACCCACAAATTTTGTGGTGTGAAGGAAAGTGATGCAATTCGAGACAAAAGTGTGCGTCAAGGGGCTGAAAGACCCTCCGAACGCAAAACCGCCGTGACGTTCAGCCTGTTTCCAGGACTGTTAAGGCCTGTGAGACTGCACGCGGGAGGCATGACGATGTCTTGGGGCTCTCAAGATCTGAGCCAAGTGCGCAATCAAGGCCTACGTACTTTAAATGCACGCCTGCAGAGTTTCCTACCTCAGAAGGTCGATTCTTCCTCCTCTGATCGGTTTCCCATGAAAAAACACACAAAACTGGAGTTCGCAGATGAGTTCGTCGAGTAAGAACTGAGGAACTGCCTGGAAATTTCATTGCGGAAGACGCGAAGTCTGAAGATCTTCCAGCTCATAGAAGCAAATACTGTAGAACAATGCTACATTGGAGGCATCAACAACAACCCGAAAGCGGACGCAAGTCAATACCGCGGAAGTTATAAGGGATGTTTTGCTGAAATGAACCGTACTCGTCGAAGTGAGGATAACCACATCGGTTACCCAACCCTCTGCCCCTCATCTATTCCTGAAATCTCTAGATTTTGGCTTAATGTGCTCCTGTCGTTCTGTTGTGTTGCCACCACCGTGACCATGGCCCACAATTCTCGAAAGCCACGTCAGTCGCGAGCGTCTCAGAACCAAACATACCTCCCTATGAGGCAATGACCCAAGCCGAGGACCTGGGGCGCACAAATGGGAACGGTGAGCGAGTGGGAGATATTCAGGCGGGGAATGGCCGGCTTTCTGTAACTTCACAGGAGTGGTGTAGACTATGTGCATGCGGCAAGCATATCTGGCACTGACAGAAATTTCCTTTACAAGCCTAGCTGTTTGAAGTACGGAATCTGGATTGCAGCGATGTTCCAGTTCTTAGCCAGGTTTAGTTCATGTGCATCTGCAGTGGCTGCGTCGTTTGAAGGCGATGGGATGCAATCATGTGCCTCATGGATGTTTACTAGCCTTATCTATCTTGTTCCTTCGTTCGCCGGGTCGTTATGTTTTCTCCCTCTCTTTCTGAATTAGGCTATGTTCTGTTGTTTCTGCGGATCTGCCTTCCTTTACCATGCCATGTCCTCTTTTCTGTCCTTCTTGCTGCACCGGTGTTTTTTATGCCGTCTTTTGTGCTTGTCTCTATGCGATTATTCGTTCATGCTGTCTTTCCTTCTTTCTTTCGTTGTGTCTGGGAGGTTGAAGGGGCAGTAACGCCACTTCATGGCGACCATGCCCGCAACACTGGCATTTACATGATTTTCCCTCGTCGTACAACATACTTCAGGTTCTGGGTTTCAGACTGTGTGTTCAAGGTCAAGGTCTGCAGGCCCGACCTACCCAGAACCCCCCGCCCGTCTCCGCACCCCACAAGTCCGAGAGCAGATCCCACGACGACGGCGATGACTGCAGCTGCCATGATGGTTCAAGGGAGAACCGCCTTCTTGCGATGAACTTAATCTTGTTACCTCTGTTGCCGCCTGAACCATACCGCCTGCAAATTCCACATGAAGGCTGTCACGCGGCCATGAAGAGTGAAATCTCCAGCAGATGCTCCACATTCTCATTGCCGTAGGTCGGCGTGATTCCTGAGACGACATGGTGCATGTCGGCTTAGCACTTGTTACTGTAACAGGCTGAAAATCCCAAGCTCTAGTGGTTCCGAAGTCCTGTCCTACTAATTGGGTCTGGTAGGGATGGCTCGACGTCTGGACGAGGGCTCGCTTACAAGCAAACCGGTTTCAGAAAATATGCCGCGCGTCGGTTGTCAAAGAACATGGAGATGCTGTGGCAGATGCCATGCGCGGCGAAAAATGCCACGATCGCGTTGTTCACCTGCCAGTAGCTCGGTAGGTGCCATCTTAAGTCTTCAAGTTCAACAGTTCGAACGCTTTAACCTTCTGCTCACATTTACAGCGCAAAACTATGGTTAGTGTTTCGCTAATCGCCGCCACCACTGCCACTGCTGCCACTTGTTCGATCGCTCCTCTTCCTCCTCCTACTCCGCCTCCTCTTACTACTGCCACTACTCCTGCTGCGACGACGACGACTATTACTACTTCTACTTCTACTGTGAAACGCTACTTCTACTTCTACTACTTACTACAGTACTTACTACTTACTACAGTACTTACTACTTAACACTTACGACTTTGTACTTACTACACACTACTTACTACTACTACCACCACCACCAGTGCTGCGACTACTACTACTACTACTACTACTACTACTACTACTACTACTACTACTACTACCGCTACTACTACTGTTGCTACTGCTACTGCTACTGCTACTGCTACTGCTACTACTACTACTACTACTACTACTACTACTACTACTACTACTACTACTACTACGACTACTACTACTACTACTACTACTACTACTACTACTACTACTACTACTACTACTACTACTGTTGCTACTGCTACTGCTGCTCTCGCAGAAAATCTGCGCGTGGTTCTAAAGTATTGCCTACAGCTTTTGTACTTACATGTGTTGTTGTTTCTGTAGTCCATCTTGTCATCATACTCTTCTTGTTGTCTTGTGCACTTGCTTTTAACAGACCAAAGTTAACACTCCCTTGGCAAGTATTTCTAGTCACCTCTGTGGTGATCGGTGTTGCTCGTCTTGCTTTGTTTTGGGTGTATGAACCCTACTGTTGCTACTGCCGTTCAAGACTCGTGTAGTAACATTATGATGCAAATGATGCAGAGCATCATTACAGACTTATGCACTGAGTACTACGGGTGGGATGCCGCCTTCGGGTTGGCAGCCGTAAAAAAGAAGGACAGGAAGAAGGTGGCGAATGTCCCACGCCAAAGAAGCTCGGCCTCGATATTGTATGGCCTGCGGCGAGAACAAGTTGTACAGTGACACAAGCGCAGATGACCCATCGACCTGTGATAGTTTCTGACAGCCCGGGCCGAGTGATAGCCAACGGCAAAAATGTATGTAATTATCTACTTCTGTATGTGTGCACACTGTTGTGTGTCTGATTGTGTGTATGCATTAATGCATGTATGTCAGTATGTCTATATGTCTGTATGTCACAATGTCTGTGAGTATGTGTACGTCTGTATGCATACGTGCACTTCTAGACATAACGGATCGAGCAGCACTACACCGTGTAGCAGGACACCTGCGTGCGTAACCAAGGCCCTTATCACGTCATACCATGCGAGACTGAATCTGGATGCGAAGAAATTCTGCTCTGGGCCCAGGACGGTGTTGCATCCATTGCTTAGTTGTTTCCTTTTGTTCATGTGGGTGGTTGTCAAAATTATGGTCCCTTTTTGGATCCATCTTAAAATACGCACCTAATATTCAGGGTACCCAAGAAGGGGCCATAATTTTGACAACTACCCATGTGTGAAGCTGAGTGGTCCTCAACCCTCTCTCGCCTCCATCGCACCCAGAGCTGCACTCGCTCCCAGGGCCCGAAGATGGGCATGATGAGGCCGAAGGGAAAGAGGGAGAAGATCACGGTGTAGATCCTGACTTGTAACTTCTTGCGGCAGGCCTTAAAAACAAGAAAATTCAGGGCTGGAAGCTCCTTGGAAAGGCTCAGGGGCTCGGAGCTTCACCCCATGCAGTACCAATCTGCTGACTCGGAGGGCGGAATTTGGCGGGAAAATTGTGTGTGTGTGTGTGTGTGTGTGTGTGTGTGTGTGTCTGTGTGTGTGTCTGTGTGCGTGTCTGTGTGTGTGTCTGTGTGTGTGTCTGTGTGTGTGTCTGTGTGTGTGTCTGTGTGTGTGTCTGTGTGTGTGTGTGTGTGGTGTGTTTTTACAACGCTTGTCGTAGTCACGCTGCGGAAGCAACTTCAGGGAGGTGTGAGACTTCGTGCCCTGCGACGACATGCATTAAAGCCAGCAGTAGCTAATCCCACGAACAGAAGAGCAAGCATGCCCTTCACCCCGAAACCCAAATCCGCTGCCAGGCAGAATCATATCAGTAGCCGGCGAGGCGAAATTCGTATCCCCAGGAACACCAAGCCAGCATGCAGCCAATACCGACCACACTGACAACGTCTCGCAGACTTCGAAACAAAGCTACTCACACCAGTGTCAACACAGTCATAAGAAGTGTACGAAGAAGGTTGGAACCCTACTACACATCCGGTATCGAAAGTAAACGTGATGGTCAAGGCTCTTCACAGGAATCGCTGTTTTCGAATCTCGGAGGTGTCGGTAAGCTCCGCGTCCGAAGTCCCAAATCCACTCCTCTCTCGGGGTTTAGAATGTCGCATTTCGGGCCAGGGGCTTCTTGGGGTCAAGAGCTCGGAGCTTCCCATGTCGGCAGCTGGGAGGTTCTACAAGGCACACTTCAGTGCCGAAACTAGGGAAGCAAGATGCAAGATCCCGCAATTTCGCCAGAAGCCCCACCCGCAAGCCCTGAGTGAATAAAGCCGTCTGCGCTTGCGATGCTTGTGCCACCCAAGAGGCTGTAGAACGGAGAATGGGCCAGGCCAGGACTATCACGGCAATAAGCCTTGGGGGTGGAACAAGCCATAACAAGCCACATGCAGCATTGACGCCATCGTGGTTCGGACACGTGGGATATGCCGGCAGAGCTCATGCTCTTATCGTTCGAAACAGGGAGTTTTCTGGGAGTAGGAGCGAAGGAGTCCATTCTCGCCTTCTGCAGGTCCAACTGCGACTAAGATTTCTGGGCGTTGAAATAATAGGAGAAGCGCTCGCTTATGAATTCGAGAAAAATGTCCAACACATCTCAGAACAGTAGCTGTGACTGTCTTGTATCTCGCAATGTCAAGATCCGGAGCCCTCCCATGTTGCCACAAGCATCTTCTTGACCGGCACTGTTGTACCATCCTCACCACCTCTGCCACCACCATCTGCAGCAGTGCCGCCGTCACCACCACTACCGTCTCGAGCATCACGGTCCTTATTTTTCGTGATCAGCACCAGTGTCGTCGTCATCAGCATAGCATCATCATCTGCAGCAGCCTCGGGCTTTGGTGGATCCGAACCCATGGGTCAGACCGAACACTGATCCAGATCCTGAGCCCTCCCCTTCAGAAGCACGAAAGCGACAGAAAGTCTGTGTAAAGCCCAGGCGGCAGTGCAATTGCCAGTCCCAGCTGCCTTGCGCGCAGGTGTCGTGGAAACATGTTGCGGAGTTGGGTTTCATGGTTCACCTTTCTTGGCACCCTCCGTCCGTGACCCTACACTTTACGTGCCCAGATTTCCCAACCAATCGCAGAGTGCAGCCGGGATGCAGCCACATTCCGATAATGACGAGAAGGATACTTTGAAGCGTGAGCCTAAAGCGAGAGCCAGAACGAGCTCAGATCCAGTGTTAACGTTGAGCCCCCTGTGATGCCGGTGCATGGCTACCTGACCTGTCCTACGGCTTCTAGGCACCCAGCATGGTAAGCAGCCAGAAAGCCAACACCAAGTGCAGTACAGGTCACCAGAAGATGAGCATCGTAAGCAACGGTTGCAGTCGCAAGCGAGTCTTTCCATGTCCTTCAAAGCTATGCGAATCTCTAGCCGATGCAAAGAACATGAAAACCTAGGGACCCGAGCTCCTTGCATGAGGAAGGGGATGCCAAAGCCAAAGAAGACCGTGAGACGCATGTGATGATACCTGCAAAGCTCGGAAAGGTCACGGAGCCGTTCAATCAAGGCCATCTGCGCCGGGTTGCGGCGCAGGTCTCGCTCAGACGGCCTCGACCCTCGTCATCTGGTGAGTGTGTTTGCGCGCATGCACGTGCGAGCCAGCGAGCGAGCGAAAGAGAGACAGAGAGAGACAGCGAGAGAGAGAGAGAGGGAGAGAGAGATGCATACATATATATATATATATATAGATATATATATATATATATATACGTATATATACACATATGTGTTTACTTATTTATCTTTACATATGTATACAGATATATAGAGAGCGAGGAGAATGCATCTATTGGCGCCAAGCTGCGGCCGATTCACTGGGACGGTGAACACGAGGTCGTCTGAGACAGGTGCATGGACTGTCGACATATGAGGGGTTCATAGCATCCCTTCTGGAGATATCCTTCCGGTTGAACAGAATGTGTGCAGGTCTAACATGAGTGCTGCAGAAAATGCTGGCTTCAGGCCAGTCGACCGCCCACCGCGACCGACCCCTGATTGTAGAGTTTCGGCAGCAAATACATCACCCAAACTTCTGCTCCAGCAATTGCGTAGCCTTGACCCTGTCAGAGTCGCACTACATGCACAGACTGCCTGGCAACGGGTACGTTGCAAGGAGGTGGAAGAGGCAAAGGCTGATGCCTAGCGCCACCAGTCCTGAGCAAAGGACCATAGATCTAGCATTTCGATGTTGCAATCTTGTGGTTCGGCAAACGCTGAACATTTATTTCTACACAAAGACTTATGCAACGGTGTGAGCTGCTGCTGCGAGCATATTCTTGCGCCATTCGTGTGTGGCATTCCAAAACCTTACCCTACCTCACCTTCTCATCTTCACAACGAACGAGCTGCTCGCACACAGCAGATGCAGAATGAAAGACAAGAGAAACGAGAGAGAAATGAGAAACAAAAAACGCACAGCCCCGCGACCAGGCTATCCCTGAAACAAGATTCAGATATTCCAAGTTGCCGACACGTCTCTGAAACCCAGTGAACATTCTAGCCGGCTTCCTCATGGGATATATTCGCTGAAACGCGAACTCCTGATTGAGTCTTCAAGCTTTGACAGCGTTTCTGGCGGAGGCCATGATGGCATTATCAGATCGAAAGGCTCTTGATGCAAGCGAGCACATGTCTGTAAATGCAAGCGAAGTGTGCTGCACCTTTCCAGCATCACCGTCCGCTTGAACGAAGCACCGGATGCACAAGACGGCTCTGCAACTCAACTTTGCATTTCTCATTGCGCTCCAAGCGTCGCCATCGAGATCCCTCGGGGATCACCTCCGGCACTTTCAGCCCGTCTGCTCGCCTTGGCAACAAGGGACGGCGCCAACGAACGGAGCCCATCTTGCAGCAGCAGTTGTGGCTCACACTGCTGTCAAGGGACTCAGGGCCATATTCAATATCCTTTCGAGAGGGTTGCTCAACAGAAGCTCAACGACAGAACCTCAACGATACTCCGCGCAGATTTCATCACGACTCCAAGATCTGCATGGAAAAGCTGGACTTGAGTACATCATGCGAGTGACCGGAACAACCCCGTGCAGGTCCTTGTCGCCATGTCCAATCGCAGTGGCCATGGCAACGCGCAGCGCAGAATTGGCCGGTTCGGAGGTTTGCTTCACCTTGGCCTTCCCAATCTAGCAGGCCAGATGCTTCAGACCGGCGATGGCAAACCAAATGGCAGACCAAGCAGTGGTTCAGGCAACAGATCTACACCTAGGATCTAGTTAAAAATGATACTACTACTGCTGCTGCTGCTACTACTACTACTACCACCACCAACAACAACATGCTTGCCATTGTCATCGTGGTGGCTGTCCTCGCAGTTGCTATTGTAACGGTTCCAATGATGGTTGCTATCAGCCTGGGTTCCTTCAAGGTCAGACTCGGGCGTTGCAGGATTCTCATGTTTACCGTCTGCAGGATTGATTCCGGGAGCTGAGATCCTTTCGACCGAGAGCAGCCTCGCATCGTCCCTACTTCTGGCAGCCGTGTCAGCTTTGGCTGCGTCTGCAATCTCATGGTCCAAGAATGCACACTGAAGATGTCGGCCGGCCTCCGTCCTTCCTCGGATGGGCGGGTGTGAGGTCATGGGAACCAGTTTCAACATCTAGAGTGCTTCGAGATTGAGCTTCGGCTGGAAGTGGGAGCCCTAAACATCCCAAAACCCTAAACCCAAAAGCCCCAAGCGGCCCGAAACCCTAGCCACTGATCTTGAATCACTGAGAAACCACTCCGAACCGGGGACCCTCAAGCCCTGGAAAGGCCCCTGCGGTTTTTGCGGTTGCCGGTTTAGGGTTGCAAGGGAGTGTCCTGACAAGCTCCCCAGGAAAAATCTCCCTTTCCGACGGCAATGCACAAGGGTTTCGGGGTTGGATTGATCCAAGCTCCACCCAAGGTGCCTGTAACAGAGCCCTTCTATAGCCGCGAATGAGGGGAATCTAGGGCCTGACAGGGCCCTGAAGCTAAGACCCCACGTACAGCAGGGCGGCCGAAGCTGACCGTGACCGTCGGGCTTCATGGGTACAATCGCTCCCTCGCCATCCTCAGACAGCGAATCTCTGAAACTCTTCAAGCAAGGTTGAGGCACCTTGACTTGAGCCGCCGTGAATCACGGCGCTTGATCCCGAACTTCATGGAAGAATGAACCTATCGTATAGTCTCCGGACTCTCTTTATGCTGAACACTTCTGTATGCCGAAGCTTCTTTTTGAGCTTGAGCCTACATGGACTTGTGCAGCGACACGACCCGAATTTTGGGAGCCTTGGTGTGTCAAGAGGCGTTCGACGCTTCAGTTGATGCGACGACTGCGATCCAAGTTGGTGTTCCGTTTCAGAAAGATGTTGGTGGCAAGAGAGCACCCCACATGAGACTCGCGTGAAACAGAAGGCTCACGGCATTAACGGCGTAGGTTGTTCTGATCAGCAACGCCTGATATGTGCACGGAAGTTGCAGGGGAGCTGCGATTTGTCGGTTCACAAAATTAGTCGTGCTGCAGTTTGATGTTGGTGATGTGGTGCGTCACCAACCAGTTAGGCCTTCTGGGTTGCGGCCATGAGGTCCTTGGTGCTGTGAGACAAGGCGCTTCCGTCTTCACGGAGCACTGGAAGACGAAAGAAACAGACCCCTAACTCGCATTCCTTTCGCGGTGAGCCGTGAGTCGAAGTCCTCTGATTCTGTGCCTAAGATGCTCTTCACAGCGACAGTCGTTTCTCGCATTGTGCCACTGTGGTGGGTCTGTTCTGCTCACTTGAGCATGCTTGCTGCATAAAGGTTTAAGCCCTGTCCTGAAACAAGATATTTCGCTTGAGTTAGATTCAATGCCCCGAAATTGAACAACAAAGTGGGTTTGGCCGCGTGTCTGTAGCTTTGCCATCAAGATGAATCTGTCGTCTTTCTCGGTATGTTGACTTTCACTGGCACTGCTACGCCCACGAATACACATGACCTCTTTGCTGCTGTCATGACCACTACTACTCTTGAAACTGCCAACCACCATGTTCTGGAAGTTGTGGTGGTGGTGCTGCCGATGCTTCCGCTGCTGGTGCTGGTTGCTACTAGTTACTAGTCTGCTTCTCCAGATGCAGCTGCTGTACCTACTATAACTGCTACTAATCCTACTACTACTACTACTACTACTACTACTACTACTACTACTACTACTACTACTACTACTACTGCTACTACTTGCTACTACTACTACTACTACTACTACCACTACTACTACTACTACTACTACTACTACTACTACTACTACTACTACTACTACTACTACTACTACTACTACTACTACTACTACTACTACTACTACTACTACTACTACTACTACTAAGACTACTACTACTACTACTACTACTACTACTACTACTACTACTACTACTCTACTACTGCTACTACTGCTACTAGTACTAATACTAGCCTACTACCTACTACTACTACTACTACTACTACTACTACTACTACTACTACTACTACTACTACTGCTACTGCTACTGCTACTGCTACTGCTACTACTACTACTCCTGCTACTGCTACTACTACAACTACTACGACCACTACTACCACTACTACTACTACTACTACTACTGCTACTACTACTACTACTCCTACTACTCCTACTACTACTACTACTACTACTGCTACTACTACCACCACTACTACTACCACTACTACTACTACTACTACTACTACGACTACTACGACGACTACTGCTACGACGACTACTGCTTCGTTCTCGAAAACGACGATAATGATACTAGCTACTAGCATGCATAGTGCTGAGGTCGCTGCACTGCTGCACCCACTGCCACTGCTCGTAAGAACCGCAGTAATGATCGTGCTGGTTTTCCTTGGGTTGTCAACAACCTTAGGACCTTGGTCCCCTAAGGCCACTATTGTTACGTCCCGGTCTCGACCCACACAGAACATGAACACAACGACAGCAGTATTATTTCAGCACAAGACGAAGCACGCGAGCCCTGAATGCAACAATCACCCGAAAGCGAAGGTCAACAAAAATCAACCCAATTAAAAATCCTAAACGTCGCACCGTGCCTGTGCAGCAACTCCGTTGTTGCTGCCAGCACGACCTGCCGCAGTCCACACACCCAGCCGCACTGGCATTTCACAGAAGAGGCTTCTGAACAGTCTGGATTCACTGAATGCTTCAAGGTCGAAAACATCAGACCTATCTAGAGCTGCCTTTTAAGAAGGGCTTTTGTCTTTGGCAGGCGTGTTTTCCTCATCACCGTCTGCTGCCCGGAGGCCGCGGTTGCAATTCAAGAATTGCTACTTGTATGGATCCGGCAGGTACTCACCACGGCTGGCCACTGCAGAATTCTGGCAGCTCTTCGGATGGTGCATGCATGCGCTTTTGGAGGGTCGCTGGAGAGGCTTCTTGAACCTCCCTCTAACTCTAGAAAACTGGCCTCGAAAGCATAGCAAAACCAAACCCCGGA